TAATTGGAGACAAATTAGTGCTCCGTTGGTTTTTATTGTATACTCTTTTACTATATATATGCGATTTATAAGTTAATAGAAATGATCTGCACGGGTATACATGCTTCGGCTGGCCGAAGCTAGCTTCCTTTCTTGTTTTTAAGTCATTTTTAAATACCAGTCTCTCAGGTGGTTTTCACTAAATTTAAATGATGGTATGATATTTCTTTATTACATTTTCTTTCCGTGTTCTGCCACAAATTGTAGTTTATTTTTGTAGTGCGTTGCGCATATTCCTTTTCATCTGCAGCTTGGTTGCAATTTAGGTTTTAGTTTTTGTCTGTGCGTATTCCATTTCCTTTTTTTGCCTTTTTACTGCATTTGACATTTGGTGACTTCTGCTTGTGCGCGTGTAATTTATGTGAGTTTTGTCCCATGAAGTTTGCTTTCGGTTCGAGGACAAAGCGCGAAAGTGTGTGAGTCGGGTGAAAAGACAGTAGAGTAACTCGCAGTAACTGCCAGCAAGTTTATGTGAAAAGACAGCAGACTATGGTAGGTAGGTGAAACTTTGTCGCATAAGTTTTGCTGCCTCACATAAGTGGGTAAGTCGCAGGCCGTCTCTCTCTTGTCGCCTATCCCCTTCTCTGTTTGTCGCACAATCAGCTCAATGTTTGTTTGCAGTTGTCTTGTTCGGCTTGTTGTTTGTTTGTGTCTTTGTTTGTTGCTGCTCTTGCCGCTGCCTTCGTGTTTGCTCCTTGGACAAACAAATCCAGAGAGAGAGGAACTCGTGTAATTCATATTCATTAGCTGCCCCATTGTGTCTTTGTCATGAAATTGTAATTTTGCCGAGAAGTCGCTGATAATTAAGTTGGTCGGCCAGTTTCACAATAAGATCAAGCAAAAAGCGTGTTGAAATATGACAAAGTTATTGTAGCTAATTATATCCCTTCTATGGAATCGAAAAATACCATTTTCAGCATGCATGGAAACTTTAAAATATCCTTCCATTTGCCACAACGCTTACTTTTCCTTCCTTAGCTATTAAAGCTTAACGTCTCATATTTTTTTTTGCCTGCAGCCAATTAATTTACTTTTTGTAATATAGTTCATTGAGCATGAGATCGTCAAATGCTGTCAGCATCTACGCTGTTGTTTACACCATTTTAATTGAATTCCAGTTTAGCTTCAAGTGCCAACCATGTCAAAAACAACAACATCAGTCAACTTTTCGATTTTGGCGAAAATCTAATTAAATTAGCAAATCTTCTATTTGCTATTTTCTACGTACGCTATAAAGAGTGTAATAAAAGATAATTTGTAAAATTATTTCGTTATTATTTAATATATAAAGCTAAATAAAAATAGCAGTCAGACTGAACATTTTTTTAGTTTTTAGTTAGTCTAATTAAAAAGGAAAAATTAAATTAAATTTTAAATATTACAAAATTTTTCAGTTGTCATTGTTTATTATTTTTGTTTTTAAAAAAATGTGTTTTTAAATTTTAAATATTTGGCTTTGCGAACTTCCTTGTGTCATCGTGAATGAATATCATTTACGTCAACGAAGAGTTTAGCCAAACAAAACTTTGGCTCCCCTCTCAATGGAAGTCAAATTGAATTCCAAACAAACTTGATAGCCAAATGGAAAACACTCTCTCCAACGTGTAGTGTATAATAATCAGGATAACACACACTCAAAGGAGGCGGGCGAAGGATTGGGGAGGATTTCGGTAGAGAGATGCCAACTTTATTTAACTGTTTGCCAAGCTGTCAAGCGCTAGCTAACTGCCAACACACACACACTCGTAGACGGGCAAACACAACAGGATTGCAGGTGATCCAGGTATTGGTTTGGTTTTGGCTGCGAATTTCGAGGGGTTGGTGCAGTGGGTGGTGCAGTGGGCCGCACTGAGAAGGCAAAAAGGAAACGCGGTACATTTGCGCCCAACGTGTTTGCCTTTTGGAACGTTTCACGCTTCGATTGCAACGCAGGCAAAGGCAGTAAGGTGGATAGGTGGAAAAAAGTAGAGGGAAAATTCATTTTAATCTTACTGCAAAAATTTATTTAAATATTATCGAATATCAGATACCTAGCAAATACTAATATTTTTTTGTAGTTGTAGTAATTAGATATTAAGTAGGTGATATAAATATGTTTAAGTAAAGTTAACAGGGAAAGAGCTTTGGAAGCCTCTTTATCTTACTCTTCTTTTTAAAAAGCAGATTATATATTTTCTTTCATTATTTAAATATAAAATCAAGACAGAATTAATAGAGCATATAGGAAATTAAATGATCTTTTCAAAGACTTGCAATACTAGAAATATATTATTTTCCAAAATTGCATATACCTCACACCATACAAAATTGCCAGGTACAAAACGCAAACTGGAAACCCACATTCAAGCATAAAGTGAGTGGGAGAAAAAGAGATAGGCGCTGGGCTGTGTGTGTGGAAATGCAAAAATTAAATTTTAAATATTTATAAACTACAGGCTGTGCAAGGGGAGTGTGGGAATACCGAAATGGAGGGCGAGGGAACGGATGGTAGGCCAATAAAAGGAATTTGCAATTGGTCTGATTGGCTTTTAATCGCAGCAGACAGTTTTTAATAAATATGCATAACCGTTTGCGCTTCCAATTGGAATACAGTGGATGATCTCATAAATGGACAGCTTAAGTATCCTGTCATTTGTTGGGTAGATGTGAAAATGCGGTAAGGAATTAATTGAGATCTTGCAAAGAACTAAAAGTCAAAGAACATTATGCTGATGGAAATTAAAAAATAAGTATACTGTAATGAAAAGAAAAACACCAGAAACATCAGAAAAACACAAAATGAACTGATCTTATTGGCTATTCTTAGTTAAAAATAAAATTTATTTAATAATTATTTTCTTATGCACGTATTTATCTTTAAGTTGTGTATAAAACGCAATATAGTCAAGGGAAAAATCAGATTTATAATTTTTCCGCTGATGTTTTGCCTTTTTGCAGTTCACTGTAATTCACTGACCAACCCCCTATTTTTCTTAAAATATGTGGGGCGTTCCGGTGGTGCATCTTCTTGCGGAAACGGATGTTCCATTGCATAGCGGAAGACGAGAGCCCAAAGAGCCGAGGGAAATTTATGATTTTGCCATAAAATCCTGTTGATATGTGGAAGGAAGACGCCTTTCCCCGTTCGATTCTCTCACCTCACAGCTGTTACTTATGCGCATACATATGTAGCACAATGCACGTAGGACTCGCACAGACACCACTACCGATTCGCATACTCAGATACGCAGACACTCAGACACAGATACACAGTTGCGGATACGCAATGCACACATCCTGCTCGCATTGCACATTGTTGCGATTGATGCACATAAGAAATGCAATCGGGCCAACTGCAATTTCGTAAATCGAAGGAAAAATTTCCTAGCCGCATCAACATCGCATTTCGTCTCCGGCAGAGAGGCAATCAAACAAGGCAGGAAAACTGCAGCTGGAAAACAGTTGTTGACTGTTTGCCTGGCATCGCCTATATCTTCATCACGACGATGATCATCATCATCATCAGCTCGGAACAGGCAACATCGGAACATCGTCATCGACTCGAGGAACAGGCGGAGGACTACGATGAGGACATATCCTCGTCATCGTCACTTTTATGGTGCTGTTTTGTCGCATCCACTGAGCTGCTTTTAAGCTTGTCATATGCGTGCCACTGTATCAGAGGATGTACACAGTGAGAAATTGGGAGGATTTTGCTGTTGATATTGGTTAACAGGGGTTGAAAAACAAAAACACTCAACTCAAATCGCTATGAGCATTGTATATATTATACGCATATCGTATTTACCAAGCAATACTGGTAAAGTTGATATTAAGTAATATCATTTAGCCGAATTCTCTTTAGCGGAGACTCAGAGCCCAATATTGGATAGATAAATTTTACACTGAAATAAATAAATATTCACGTTTTACTAAAATATACATTTTAAATTACAATATTTCGAAAATCACTTATAATATTATTTGTAACAACCTTATTTTTTTTCTGTGCCTGGGCTCGTGACTGAATGCACTCCTGCAAAAGGCTTGTTTATTTGCTGGCAAAATTGTGAAATAATGTGCTGCAATCAATTCCCAATACAGCGCTCTGTGACCCCTGCCACCCCTCAAATATGGCTCTCCCTCCTTTCCGAGGGGAAAAGTCAGGGAAAGCGGGGAAAAATGGTGTGCAGTGAAGTATTTTGAAGTGGCAGCTGCCACAGAGCCAACTGCAACTGCCACAACTACATTTGTTGCCCTGCGCTCTTATCATCGCTTGATTTACCGCCCCCTCTTCCCCTATTTTCCACGTTTTCCTCCTTTTTCCATCCTCTATCGGAGGTAACATGTTTGTGATGAATATGTTTACATCAATAACAAAAACTCCACTATTCAGCATCAATAATGAAACGTTGCTCGACGCTCTGACTCCGCTTAACAAAACCCCCCTCTCTGCCTCATCCACCCACCAACAAAACCCCCTTTTCTGAACACGTCAAAATGAGTTTACTTTGTGGTTTTGATGGTTGCGACTGCAGTTCTGCTCTCGTGGAGTATGAAGTATCGAGTTTTGAGTACCAAATACATTCATCTGCACACGAGTACCAGGAGTTCTTGACATCCTCAACCCAAGAACAACATCAGTATCAATGGCAGCGAGGATTACTCAGGGACTGCAATAGAGAAACCACGGAACACTCCATATTTTGTGAAAGTGATTCCGTCTGCTGTCTGTTTGGGGGTTTGCTATTATCCGTGATTGGAGGAGGTGGGTTATTTTTCAGGGAATCATTTCTAATTAATAAACATTCTTTGTAGCTGCTTTTACCAGGGGGAAACAGTAAGATAACATTGACTGTTAAAATATACATAAGTAATTAAAATGGATAATACTTATTAACAAATATTTTGAACAAAGCAGACTCTGACTGTTACCTCCCCCGAAAATAAAAAGAATACAATCAGTTCAATAATACAAGTCACACAAGATACACAGACTAACATACAACTCTCCATAGCAGCTTTACATTTTGAAATATCTCCTATAAAAACTAGTTTTATACCAATAAAAGAGAAAGATGGAAAACGATCTGGTAAAGGGTATCCTGAAGTCGGGGGCCAATAGTGCGCAATTGAGTCTCAAGGCGGCCAAGTTCGATGAGGTGAACATACTGGCCACATTCCATCCTGTTGGCAAGGACTACGGCCACATGGTCATCGATGAACCGAAGACTCCGTTCGTCTTTGAAGATGATTTGCCCAAGGAGCTGGACACGAATGCTCTGATCGAGAAGCTGCGCCTGACTTCCAAGTCGGAAATGCCAGCATTCGGGATCGAAGGAGACTCCGATGATTCCTCGGCGGACGATGACTTTCCCGAATCTGTGGAGGAGAAAGTACGGAGGATGGATTTCGAAGGCCGCCGCAGGTCGCACTACAAGGAGTTCTATTCGGTTCCCCTGGCTCGCCGACTTATAGCCGAGGAATTTGGCGACTCGACCACCTCCGAATGTAGTATTCACAGCGAGAAGGTCATGGAACAGACTGAGGCCTGCTGTGAAACCGATCACTCAATCGACGGAGAAGCCAGCCGTTTTTCAGCGACCAGATCCTCCAATTCTGCCAGCCAGTCGGATTACAGGACATCGGAACGTTCAGAGCCCGAACCCGGATTTTCTCCCAGCCATCATTGCTACCAGAAACTGAAGGCCGATATCTACAGCCAGCCCCCAGAGGATTTGGCCTCGCTGAGTCACCTGCTACGTATGCCATCGGTCAACGATGATGATCTCAATCAGGAGCTTCCTGTTCCACACACTTCGATCAATCCAACCGAACGACTAACATTACAGGATACCAGGGCTTCATCTAAAGCCGTAACCGAAAAATCGGTACCTGCACGTATTTGCAAAACCAACTCCGATACTCGGGCGACGACCTCTAGGAAGGTCGCTCGGTAAATTCACTAAAATAAACTAAAAATGTACCTTAAATTTGGAAGAGTTTTAAGAAAATTTAAAAGTTTAACTCTAAAAAAAACTGTGATTCTAGCAGGTGATTGGCTGCAAATTATATTTTAAGAACAAAAATATTACAAAACTGTTTTCTATGTTTAATATTTTTTATTTTACTCGCACAATTTTAGTCCAACAAAAAAAAACGAGGTAAGTTGTTATAAGAAAATGGCAATACATTTTCCTAAGGGACTCCTTTTCTTTCTAAAATCGTACCATTCAATAAAAGCCACGATTGTGCCACTTAAGTTTGTCAAGCCTTCGATAAGTGTCTCCAATAATTTTCGGCTAATTTAAGCCTCCTTGCAAATGCGCTACCTAAGCTTCTTAGAAACTTTCTGGGCAGATACCCTTGGCCTGGCTAATTGCCGAGATCCTGATATGATTAGACTGCTCACCTTCAGTAGCTCCATCTATTGGCACTTCGCCTTCTTCAGTTCATTGGTCTGAGGAATATTTAATTACGCCATGACCTGACTGTAATTACCACTGGGCCAGGCTGGAGATACAAAGGATGCAAGGCAAAAGTTTGCCCAATAACTTATTTCGGCATTTTGTTTCGTAATTGAAAATTCCTTTTGACAGTCCAGGCAGCCGAAGTTTTCCTTCCGGCCAATCGCCTTTATTCAGATTTAATGTTTTGGCCATTTCAATTGTTGGGCTATCTGATTTCCGGCCTTTAAGATAATTTCTGGAATGTTACACCTGCAAAATCACTTCCAATAATTATGCAAAATGTTTAATTTAGCCATTAAATGTCGTAGCAGTTCAGTTTTATTATTATTAAGCTTCGGTCAATTCGTTTGCAAATGAAAGGACAACACAGAACCGGATGGAGGTTGGGAAGTTGGAGGTTGAAAGTGTCATGAATATTTATAGGGGCCATGTTATCATTGAATAGATTTCAATTAGATTTATTTGCGAATACTTTGGGAGAGTGAAATGAATAAAAGCGACAAAGTTTGTCTTGTAAATAAAAGCTAAAACGATAAGGTCAAGTATTTAAAATCAGGAGTGGGAGGGCATTTAAAGACAACGTATATTGCACTTTCGATTTGTAAATAATAGTTGTTCAATTAACCCAAAGCATTTCTGAACTCCTTTCAATATTGACAATTTATTAAATACAATTACCATTAAGAAAATCCCCCTGCTTTTCCACCTTAGTGGAGCTTTCCATTTGCCGAACATTTAATTGTTGATCCTGTACTCAAGGCTTTTAAATGCATTTAAACCGAAAAACACTTAAATTGGACAAACAACATGGATGGCTTAACCCGCTGGCAGCATCCTTAACCCCGTGAAGCCATTTAATGCGAACTTGCCATTTGGCCAGAAATGATGGCCGAAGTAAAATTTAAAATGGCTCCAATTGATGGCCGCAGCATCTTTGTCTCCGTCCGTTTCTCCCTCTCCGGACTCGAGTCCGGTTCCTCCTGGCATCTCCGTGTCCGCCTCGGTCTCCGTAACAATTGCCGTGTACATTTCATTAAGTGCATAAGCCCGTCCTGCTGTCAGCGCTCCTTTCTTGTCCTCCTTTCTGCCATTTTCCCGACTTCCCTTCCTTACCACTTCTGTCTGGTCCTTTCGTGAGGAGCGTTTTTAAGCCGGAAAATTATTTTTAATGCTATTTACACTCACAAATGAAAATGCAAGCGCAAATAAAGGCCGCCAGCAGTCACGAACTGGCCAACAACTTAACTGGCATAAATGCTACTGGCCAAAAAAAAAACAATATATATATTGCAAGACGAATTACGAATGAAGTAATGTAAGCGAAAAGATACCTCGGCTTTTTTAGCATTCTTCTATTGCGGTGTAACAAATTTCTTTACTAAGTATTCGAAATTCGAATTTTTTTTCGTATTGGTGAATAAATCTAGTCACTTAGTCGACTGGCCTTAAGGACATATGACTGCAACGCTTAAAAAACAATTTAACATTTTTTTTTGGTTTATAATTTACACCGCGTTTCATTAAAGATATTAGGACTTCATGTTTGTTCTCTGATTTTTATAATACAAATAATTATTATTAATTAATTATAGTTTTTTTTCCAATCTCAGAACTAGACGTCGAATTTTATATAAAATCAATTTTATTAGGGTCGACTTTCAGTGATCTCCTAGTGGTTACAAATTATTTTTACCCAGCTGAAATTCGATTAGGTTTAACTCTAATTATGATTTAATAAAAACATTTTTTAACAATCGATTGCGGCTGAATATCTTATTAAAAAACCCCTATGTACAGACCCTGGCCTAAAATCATCCCTAGATTTCTCAGCAGTATTATTTTTCCGGAACTGTCTAACCCAAATTGGCAAAGGGTATAAAAAGAAACAGAACAGAAACTGGACAAAGAGCGAGGCCAAGGAAAAGTGGCTGCCTTAAAGCAGCTGCACACTTTTCAGACATGGACCTCGACCTGAACGCGTGTCGCTAAAAAAGTTCGGCTAAATATTTGCCAAAGCATTTTCGCTATTTGCGATGGCATTTCGTGTGGCATGCGGCATTTCCGCTCCGCTCCCCTCTCCACAGTCCTCATTCCGTCATCTCACGTTGCAAGTGCAGCACGCAAGCATTGGGATGCGCCGGGGAAATGGGGATTGAGCTCCACTTGCTTCGCTGGGGCATCAATTTTCATTTTGATAAATTATAAAATGGCCCAGCGCTGGCACCCTGAGCACCGAACACCGAGCACATCCACGGCCGAGGGATAAATGGATTGCCTGGCGATGGCCAGTTTTAACCCATGGCAGCAGCCTTGAAAATTGAATGCCAATGGATTTCGAGGGGAGACAACAAAGCAGCTTAGATGGTTAAAGGAATGGCGAACGCGATATACTGTAAGGAGCGGTTCTGGTAGCCACTTTATTGATACATCAATCATCGTAGCTCGAAGCGGTTTAAAACCACTTTCGCTGTGGTTTATTGAATTAATGGATGGCTTGACTTTTCAAACTTTAAGCAAAATCAAGAGCGAATAAAAGGTAGCCTCTTTGCTACTCTGCTTATATTTATTAAAATTCTATAGTAATGTTTTTTTATTAGTTAGGTACTTGTTAAAAAATATGTGCTAATTTATTATTACAATATTCAATTGATCAAAGCTGACCTACAAATTTTTAAGTATATATTTTATCTTAATTTAAAGAAAAATTGCATGAAAAAATTATAAATTCAGTTCCCAAAACTTCAACGGGTTAAAAAACCAGTAGAAAGTGGCCAGAATGTTTCTTAGATAAAGCGTATCATCATTAGGAGCTGGATTTTCTCGGATTTTCCTCCTCTCTTTCTTCCCTTTCGCCCTTTTTCTGTCATGTAAATGTAGTGCTGCAAGTGTGGCCAGCAAGTGACATTGCTTAATTGATTGCCACTCAACTTTTCTCTTTTTCCACCAAAATAGCTGGAAAAGCTAATAAGGATTTATGTAGTTTTAAGTTTGTTGATTTTTTTGGTGCACCTGGTCAAACAAAAAGACCGAAAGGACATTGGGGTGGGTCAGGAGTTAGGATTGGGTGTCCCTAGCCAGAGGTCAGGGTCACGCAGGTCACCCCTTTTTTTGGCTCCGCCTAAATAAATATGAAAATGCACGCGAGCCAAGAGCGAGCACGTAGCCAGGATAAGGACCAGAAAAATGTCCTTTTATTCCTTTTTCCCCTCCCTATAGTCAGCCCTCTCTGTCTTCCTATGTTTGTGTTTATTTGTAATCAATTAAAGGATAAGGCAATCTATTAGAAAGCCAGCTGTCCCCGTTCCTTTACGAGTGGCGTGACTTGTTTGCTTAAAATACCGCAGCTGAGGGAAGTTTAACCCTTACTTTGTCACTCCTTTTCGCTGGTTAATAATTACCCTATCGAGCACGCATGAATATTTTAATATTTTCGCACAAATTATCCACAAATTGGAATCAATGAATATTTAAGGCATAAATAGGTGTTCAGGGGTAGAGTCAAGTAATAGGCTTAAAAAGTAAGCATTTTTAAATGCTTTAAATTATATGTCTTATGATTTGAAAGTTTAAACATGCTGTACCTATTTTAATGGGAAATTAAATGCTAACTGAAATATAAACGTTTCTGAAAATAAAAATCAAAAATTATACACTGTTTACTGCATAGCTTACAATTCATTTATTTAAAATTTAAGCACTTAAACTGTAATACATTAAAAGTTGTCATACATCTAAACCATTTTCTTGGATTGCACATCTAAAACATTTCCTTGCATTCCATTTTTGCAGTCATAATTACCAGCCATCCGTTGTTGTTGTCGCAGAAGTTGTACTGTAGCTTTGATTCGAATTTCCGCCCCTATAGCGATTATTACCATTACCATTATTTCCGTTTCCCCAATTATTATTGCCTTGCCAATTTCCTGGACCCATTCCATTTGGCCCACCAGGTGGTCCACCCATTCCATTCGGACCACCCATTCCATTTGGACCTCCCATTCCGTTTTGTCCACCTCTTCCGTTATAACCGCCCTGGCTTCCCATTCCATTTCCACCCATACCTCCAGGACCCATTCCACCCGGTCCCATTCCATTGCCACCCATCCCGTTTCCATATCCTCCTCTTCCACCCATTCCATTCATACCGTTTCCACCCATACCACCAGGACCCATTCCATTACCACCCATGCCGCCTTGTCCCATTCCATTGCCATTTCCTCCACGTCCGCCCATTCCATTTCCACCCATTCCACCTGGTCCCATACCATTTCCACCCATTCCGTTTCTATTACCTCCCATTCCATTTCCGCCCATTCCATTTCCGCCCATTCCATTTCCGCCCATTCCATTTCCGCCCATTCCATTTCCTCCCATTCCATTTCCCCCCATTCCATTACCTCTCATTCCATTTCCATTCTGTCCACCCATTCCGTTTCCGTTCTGGCCACCCATTCCATTGCCACCGTTTCCTCCATTATTCATTCCATTGCCCCTGCCCATTCCACTTCCACCCATTCCGTAACCTTGCTGATTAGCTTGACGTTTCCGACGTTCCAAAGAGACAGCTATGAACAATAAATAGATAGATTTTTAGAATTATAAATTTCAAAAATAATATAATTATATTATTAACCGAGCATATAAACAGTAGGAAAATTAATTTAAAAATAATACGAAAACAGGAGTAATTTTTTTTTAACAAATACGTAAGTCATTCAATAACTTCGTTATCATAGCTAGATAGGTTCTATTGGAACGATCTGCAATAATGTTTCATCTTGTCAAAGCTAATTCCGTTTTTTGTTTTTTAAACCAAACTTTCTATATGTAGCACTAGACGATTTAACTTTTAAAACGGTGTAAAATACGAACCCGAAGTCGTGGAGAAGGGTTCCTTTTTTTCACATGTAGGATACTGCCCACATTGGGCGCCATCAAGTTGATTTGAGCTTGTACAGGGCTCTCTGGCCATAATGCACCGCTGTCCCGGAGCACATGAAATATCCCGACAGTCACGTCCGTACTCTATTTAAATTTGTATTTGATAAATAATTGTTCAAAATAATTGATAAATATTTTTTAACAAATTACTTACTGGTGTATCCCTTAACATTGACGACGATTGTTATTATTAAAAATATCCAAACCAACTTTCCCATTTAAAATATTTTATATAACGTTGCTACTAAACTGACACTTCTCTTTGGACTCAGCTTTCAAAACACCCTCATTTTTATACATTTCTGACCAACATGCATGAAAAGGTCTAGTAATTGTTTCTGTCAAAATAAATTTACTAAATGAAAACATTAGCACGGTCTAATTAAATATTACTGATTGATTGGCAGAAGTTGTGAGATAGTCACGGGTTATTTGTCGAATTTATAGGAATATGTTACGTATTTCATTTAACATTTGGCATTGAACTTTACCATGGCTAAAGTACAAATGAAGCAGTTACACTAAAACACTTTTGGACATGAGAACTAGCTTTATAGATTATACTAAATATTCATAAAATAATAACTATGCTATTTATAAATTAAGCAATTTATATTTAAGTGCTTTGCAAAAATGTTAAAAAAGGAATATTAAACTGAGAAATTAAAAGAAATTAGTATTTTAAATGTGCAACACGTTTTACTATTACATTTTAAAAATATTTTACTAATTATACATATTACGCATAAGTAAAGCGAGTGTAATTATGGTTATTTTTATACACACTTGATATGCTTTCCCACATTGTCAACTGCCTACTTAGCGCAAATGAGATTTTCTTGGCCTCCGTCCCCACGATTTACGAGCATAACAAATGAAACAAAGTTTTTCTCTGTCCTCCGACACTTGGATATCTTCCATGGAAGTCGGAAAAGTTTAGACCAAGGAACAGAGAGAAAATGGGATAGTGGGAATATGTAGCTGCGTCTTTATGCGCATATGTAAACATTTCCTGGCTACAAGAAGTGCAAAAATCCCATGGCTAAACTACTTTGGCTTAACACGGCCTCAACTTTTTGCCCAGTTGAAAAAGTTTGCAGCCCCAAGAATGTATACATCATCCTAGTATATATGCGTTCCACAATGGTGTTATAATTCACAACTGGAACTGGGCGTAAAAACTTTCACTTGACGGAATTCTAAAATTAAATTACCAAAGTCAAGTACCAACAATGCTGCAAAATTTTTTTGTAGCTTTAGGATAAACTTGTATTAACCTACAATGATTTTCTGTTTTTCATATTTTTTGGGGTCTAAGCTCGAGTTCTTGTATATTTTCGTAATGAAATAAATTACGGCTAAAATTTCAACGTAAAAAGATAAAAATTGGACTAACCGTTATATCTAACTAAATAAACCTTTCTAAAACTACCAATTAACTCCTGCTACTTTCTAAAACTAAGTTCGGTTTAAAAGTTGTCTTGTAAGCCGAATAATATTATTTTTTTGCTTTCAGTAATAAAAATTGGTTAACTGCTCCTGACTATTGTTTTTGCCACTATGTGAACATACAAAAAAATATAACCCTTTGATAGCCGATACAATATGGAAAAAAGTAGCTACGGAAAAGTGTTTGTCCAACAATGTAAAAGGAAAAAACAAACAAATACAAATACGAAAATACTTTCATTATTCTACAATATTTGATTTTCCCTTCAGCACAAACCATTGACTGACTGACTGGACCTGGTCATTCATAGATTCGATTTGTTTTTCATTTTACCCATATTTTTTTTACACTTTTTATTGTTCAACTTTCTGCTTTTAGTAAAGGAATTTCGCAAACCAAAATTCCAGGCAGGCTGGTCATAGTTTGTTTGCACAGCTCTCTTCTGAAAACGAGTTAAACAAAAAAAATTAAAAGCATACACGATATAGAGACGAACCTGACAATTTATACGAAATGGCCATTATTTAAGGTATTTTTTCGTTCAAGTCCTCGCCATTAAATTTATGCGCGATAGCTAAAATAAATATAAACACGAAATTATTTGCTTTTGGCTGCCAAAAGGTTATTGGCATAAATATTTTCATTGATTTTATGGCGTTAAAATTTCAATTTTACCTGACAAATGGCTTCATCTACGCTTTTGTTTCTCCATTTATTTTTTTGGCCAGGTAAAAGCTTAAAGTGAGATTTTGGGGAGTGACTTTAAAAGTACTTGTTAAAGTTGTGTTGAGGACAAGTATGATCTTTAAATTGGAGAACAGTTTTATCCGTGTGTTTCTTATCCCCCAAAAAGTAATAACTTTCCCGGAGAAGAAGCTAAAATGTGATTTCATTTTCGTGCACTTTTAGCGCCAATTTAAAAGCGAAAAAAATACAAGCCAGTAAAACCGAAACCCAAAGCAGCCGCACAAAATCGGCGCCTGACCACACCCCCTTTTGCCCACAAACGGGGCGGACTCATCCTTTCTGTCCGGCGGAGACTTAACAGCTCGACAGCTGTCCGTCTGCGAGTGTGCATTCGTGCTAGTGTGAAGACCTGCACTGAAAAAATAGCATTTATTTGAGTAACCTAATTAGAAAACATTTTTAAACAATTTTATTTTCTTAATCAACAAAATTTATAAAATTAAAACTCTGTTCTTAACACGTCTAAACTAATTTTTTTCAACCCAAACTTAATTATTCGTTACTTTTATTTTCTAAGTTTATTTTTTTACTAACAGTAAGTACTTGAATTTGTAGACTCATTACAAACATGTAGTTATTTTGAATTTTATTAATTAAGCCAGTAATATCATCTTGGAACTTTTATAAGTATTTATATAAACTTAAGAATAAACTTATTACAAATTCATACCATAAATTTAATTTAATTTAATTGCATATTTTATAATTTGATAAAAACCAACCCATTTAATAAGGCTATTATGGCTAGAAAAGTATTTGCCTACTCTACGAATATTTATTTTAATAAAATAATTAGTTATACCTAGTGTAAAGAGTGTTAGCACTATACATGATTTGTCTAATAAATGATGTTCAAAATATTGAAACTCGTATTTTTCTAGTGTTTCCTTCTCAAGCGTTGAGTGTGTGTGCGTGCATCGTTTAGATTTAGTGCCGCTTGTTACGCTTTGATGTCATGTCATTTATAAGCGACGCAGCAGCAGCAGCTTCGGGCTGACCCCATCCCCGCCACACCCCTGCCATTTAGCCGCTCCTCTCGGCAGCCACTGCCAATCCAACCCCCATAAAACCACCCATCGCTGCGTGCAACAAAATGCAAACTGACAGTTTAGCATGGGAACAAGTTTTGGGGCAAAAGGAAACTTAACATGACAGACCACGACAATGACGTTGGCGGAAAACTTAAAGCGAGCTTAAAGCCGTGGGCAAAGGTCACGCGTCCACCGCCTCCTCTTTCCCGCCCCTTGCCACCGCCACCCCTCGCACAAATTGCCGGACCAGCTGAGTAATTTACGCACAATAATCCGCATCGCTGAACTCTTCTTCCTTCGCTGGCCAGATGATTGATGTATGGACGTGTTAATTAGGTCCACTCGTGCCGCATTTACACTCCGCTCTGCGCCAAATAAGAAAAAGTCAGAGATTAAAGACTCAGATCGCCGGCGAATAAAAAGGCAATAAAAATCTAAGCAAACGAGTGGGCAAACTTTGTTCGACGAATTGATTGATTTCTCGACACAAGCACATTAATCAGGCCAGCCAGAAATGCTGATTTGATTCGAAGCGCAGGCACGGCGAAAAAGTTTTTGCCCAAAAGCTCTGGATTACCAGTTAACCAGTTTTGCACAACCCATTAGGAACACGGTACCTTATTTTTGACACGAAAAATTTGTGTCAGTCTCGAGGGAATAATTGTAATTATTAATTAACTAAATAACTTTTATAGTTTTAAAATAATTAATAATAGTCTTCAACTAGAAATATAAGCTGTTTCAATTTCTTTTTAATAGAGCGATATAATTTTGGTATATTTAATGTAAGCCAAGCAAAAAGTTATTTTAAAAGATAAGACATGCGATTTTATTTCTTTTATTCGTAATCAATTTAAAAATACCTAAATTAAAGTTTGTCAATGTTTATATTGGATATACTGGATATTTAATGGATATCTTCTAGTCTAGAAGTGGTCAATAAAAGCACACCTTTTTGCTCCGCCCTTAGGCTGAATTCTGACAAATTCAATTTATTTCAAGTTCTCAGATCAACACAAAAAAACGGCAAAAGCGCAAAAAATGCTGGCAAAAGAGAAGCGGCAAAGGCGGGAGCTGAAAAAGTGCAAGCTGTTCACTAAATCAAAAACAGATTTCGGTAACAAATTCGTTATGCACGTGACATGTCCAAACAATGCATGTGCCTCCTCCTGCGCCTGTGTTTGTGTATCTCCCCGTGTGTGTGTCTGTGTGTGGTCGCCTAAAAGAAATTTGAATAAGTGAATTTAAAAAGCGTTGGCGGCGACTTTGGCTGCACAAAAAAGGAGTGAAACACCTCCAACAAAAAGTCAAACAACAACAAACAAAATAGGAACAGAAAAAAACGAATGCATGTTCTCATAGTAAAGCCAAGGACACTTTCATGAAATGCAATTTCGCACTTGTAAACTTTTATGGCTAGCCTGTGTGTGTGGTGTAAGAATGCTCGGGCTTTAGCTAGTTTAAAGCTGGAAAAGTTTGGAATTACCTGTGTTCATGCCATTTAATTTAATTTATTATTTTCTCTTTTATTTTTACAAACTTCCTCATAACTTAATATTAAAAATATCTTCAATCTTTTAAATAATTTTAAATCCAAAATGTAGTTTCTAAAATACAAAATTTGGTAACAATTTAAATAATATTTTAATTTGTTTTAAAAACTTTCTAAATTTAATATTAAAAATACCTTTAGATTCACAAATGTTTAATTAAATTAATTTAAAAAAATATGGTATTCGTTTCAATTTTGTTAAAAATATTATCAAGAAACTAAAATAGTTTTGAATATTTTTAAATAGTTCTTGCTATTGCCCTATTGGTCCGATTCAGATCCAGTACATTTTCGCAAAGTTTTCTCTGCTTGACTACAACATTTGAACAGCTGGGCAGCCCCACTGCTATTCTGCTCCACCACCGCACCACTGCACCACTCAACTTCATGCCTTTCACACTCTACACCACCGCCTGCAACCCCTTCCACAAACCCCATCTAACGGCAACATGCAAATCTGACTG